CACAGACGCGAACGCGCAGAGTTTCACCATGAACATTGACAATGTCATTGACTCGGTCATCTGTGGCTCCTTGCTCGCATCCATTTGCAGCCTGCTTGCCATCGCAGTGGACAGGTACTTTACTATCTTTTATGCTCTCCAGTACCATAACATCATGACGGTTAAGCGGGTGGGGATCATCCTGAGCTGTATCTGGGCAGCCTGCACGGTGGCGGGCATTCTGTTCATCATTTACTCAGACAGCAGCGTGGTCATCATCTGCCTCATCAGCGTGTTCCTCACCATGCTGGCTCTCATGGCCTCCCTCTATGTCCACATGTTCCTCATGGCCAGGCTTCACATGAAGAGGATCGCTGTCCTCCCGGGCACCGGCACCATCCGCCAAGGTGCCAACATGAAGGGGGCGATCACCCTGACCATATTGATTGGGGTCTTTGTTGTCTGCTGGGCGCCATTCTTCCTCCACTTAATATTCTACATCTCTTGTCCCCAGAATCCATACTGTGTGTGCTTCATGTCTCACTTTAACTTATATCTCATACTGCTCATGTGTAATTCCATCATTGACCCTCTCATTTATGCACTCCGGAGCCAAGAGCTGAGGAATACCTTCAAGGAGATCATCTGTTGCTACCCTGTCGGAAGTCTTTGTGACTTGTCTAGCAGATATTAAATGGGGACAGAGGAGATGCTAAAAACATGCATAAGAGACTTTTTCATTCTTACAGAACCTGAGCAGTGTGCTTCAGTGGCAGCTTCTTCTGTGGAGGGCATTGGTCGAGAATATCTATTGTATAAATTTAAGTTTATGATTTGGGGTATGCAAAAAGGCCCCGTCTCTGTATTTTTAATGTCATGTTGCTCTTTGGCTGTGCAATGTTTGCATGAAAACACCTTTGACTGTGCAATGTTAATCCATATTATAGGTCATAGACACTGTGGACTTACAGAAAAGAAAAAAAAGTTCTTATTAAAAGCTTAACAATGTCTCTTTCTTGTAACTTATAAAGATGTGACATTTTGCTTGTTGTAGTAACAGCCTCATTTAACGTATTCTTATCAATGGTTTCTTATATTACACTGGATATACAGCAATGTAATGTAGAGATTTGAGTCTCACATTTAAGGGGGCAATATTAAAGAACAGATGCTTACTCATTAAAAAAAAGTCAGCTGAAATTTCAAGTCATTTAGTAAAACATGTTCATTTTCCCTGTACACAGTAGAAATGAAGTTCCAATTGACAGTAAAACAGCTATTGAAAAAAAAGTGAATTTTTGAGTCAGAAAACTGTGTTTCTCAAAGACAGGGAGATTAATCTCTCAAGGAAATAGTTTGCTATTCCACTCAGGCACTTCCATCTTGGGTGGGAAGTGGGGGGAGAAAGCAGCTATGGGGATCATAGTGTTCTGGAAAACCTGAATTTACAGGTCAAGCTAAACTTCCTGATACCAACCTACTTCCACTCATCATTACATATAATAAGGTCTTTCTGCCCCTTTCACCAGAAACTCATTGTCTGCTGAAGTGTCCGGAAAAGGTGGTGCTGCCCTGAGAGCTGGCTTCTGATTTCTAAAAAAAACACGGCTAGCATTGAGTTCTTTCACTTTTCACATGGAAGTGACTTGGTGTTTACTTATGACAGGAGTACAATTGCTCATCAAGGATTTTAACTTTAAAGCCAAATCCATAGCACAAGTATTTTCAGGAAATATTTGTGAATATCTAAAGTAAGGGGACCACTGATGCTGACACATTTTGAGCAGGAAGTAAGACACTTAACCCCGGAGGACAACACAACATACTAGTAAGTTAATCTTCCACAACCACACGGTGCAGAGTGAATACTTGTTTTGCTTCAAAATAACTGCAGAGATTTGGCTACTGAGCCATATAATCTGTACTTTCCAATTTGTGTGTACTTGAAAAGAAAGAGAAAGAAAATATATTAGGCTGGGAATTACCAGTAAACTATCTTTTGATTTAATTTATAGTCTCTTCAAATGCTCATAGGCAGAGATAACATACCAAGGTACTTCTTAATTCAAATCTAAATGGTTTACATATTAACAAGTCTCAAGAAATACTTTCACCATTCACATGGAAAACTTTACTTAAACAGAATGGTGACATTCAAGTTTACAAATGAAAGGTGGTATTGAAGCTTGTTTCACTGCAATTCCATTATTTTGACACAAAAATAAGTGTGAGGATTTTTAACACAGTCTGACATAACAGTCAAAACCCAAAGCTGGAGCCAGACACAGACAGTGTTGTCTTTGCTACTCTTCCTGTCCATTCTCTTTTAATTATTTATCTTTATTGTTGAAAGTATTACAGGTGTCCCCTCTCCTCCCCCATTGACTCCCTCTGCCCCACACCCATGATTGTGAGAAATCCCAGGAGCTAGAAATATGAAAAACGAAGCTACAAGCATGCCCCACCCTCTGTAGTGGCTGCCCCTGCAGTGTATTTATTTCTCCTTCAAGTGTCATCTCAGGTGCTGCTCAGTCCACTTAGAGGCAGCTCACTTGTCCCACTGGAAGGAAATTGGCCCCTTTGTGTTCACATCCCCCCCACTACCCCGTCCTGTCCCACCAGCCGGGTCCCCTGTATGCCCAGGACACAATATTAGGCTTCGGTTTCTTCAAGAGCTAACACTATGTCTTACTCATTTTCCTGCTCTCCCAATATTCCTCTATTATGTTATTTCTTTCTCCAAGAAAACCAAGATTGTACCAGAAGAGCATGTCATTATCACCCAAAGCCCGCAATTTACATTAGAGTTACCTTCTGGTGTTATATTGTATGAGTTTGGACAAAGGTATTCTGACATGGAGACACCATTATACTATCATTCAGAATAGTGTCACTTCCTTAAAAATCCTCTATGCTATGCCTACTTATCCCTCCTTCCCCCAACCTGACAACCATGCTTCCTTTCACCACCTCCATTCCTTTTCCAGGATGTCATACAGTTACAATCAGGCAGTACATAACCTTCTCAGATTGGCCTCCTTTACTTGGTAACATGCATTTAAGATTCCTCCATGTCTTCCCATAATTTGGTAGTTTATTTCTTTTTAGTGCTTATTTTACTCTATGGATGTAACAGTTAATTTATCTGTTCACCTACTGAAAAATATCTTGGCTATTTCCAAATTTTGGCAATTATGAATAAAACTGCTGTAAACCTTCTTGTGTGAATATATATTTTCAACTCATACTCAAGCACAAGAATTAAAATACACACACACACATACGCAAAGGGAATTAATTAGAGGAAATGTTTTAATATTGCTATTTGCCCTTTCTCTATAATAGAAGTGTCAGATGAAAGAAAATTAGTAAAATGTATATGAAAACCTTCCTCCTATCAGAGACTGGGGTATGCCAGGGGACCCAGAGTCGAGCCCCCGCCCACCCACGTGCACCTCGAAATCACACGAGACTCAGACCCGGCCGGCCCCACCCCCATTGGGACGGCCGGCCCCCCCCCCATTGGGAGAGATCCAGACCTGGCTGACCCCCCCCCCGTCAAGCCCTGCCGGGCAGGGGGCACAACCTCAGGTCCCCCGGCCCACCATTGGGCAGGAGCGCAGCTTCAGGTCCCCGTCAAGCCCCGCCGGTGGGGGACGCAGCCTCAGGGCCCCCGTGAAGCCCTGCTGGGTGGGGGGCACAGCCTCAGGTCCCCTGGCCCAACACCGGAGCAGGGGGTGAGGCCTGAGGTCCCCCGGCCCAGCGCCAGGAAGGGGGGGCACATCCTGAGGTCCCCCGCCCACCCACGTGCACCTCGAAATCACACGAGACTCAGACCCGGCCGGCCCCACCCCCATTGGGAGAGATCCAGACCTGGCTGACCCCACCCCCGTCAAGCCCTGCCGGGCAGGGGGCACAACCTCAGGTCCCCCGGCCCACCATTGGGCAGGAGCGCAGCTTCAGGTCCCCGTCAAGCCCCGCCGGTGGGGGACGCAGCCTCAGGGCCCCCGTGAAGCCCTGCTGGGTGGGGGGCACAGCCTCAGGTCCCCTGGCCCAACACCGGAGCAGGGGGTGAGGCCTGAGGTCCCCCGGCCCAGCGCCAGGAAGGGGGGGCACATCCTGAGGTCCCCTGTCAAGTCCTGCCAGGTGTGTGGGGGGGGTGCGGCCTCATGTCCCCCAGCCTGGGGTGGGGGATGCAGCCTGTGGTTCCCTGTCAAGCTCTGCTGGAGGGGGCACAGCCTGAGGTCCCCCTTCAGGCCCCACTGGGCAGAGGACACAGCCTCAGGTCCCCCACCCCGGCCCGGTGCCACGTAGCCTCAGGTCCCTGCGGATCGCTGGTTATGGCTCATTATGGGAACCCCACCTCCACTGTGGGTGCAGCCATCTTGTGATGATGTGGCAGAGTGAGGGTCAATTTGCATATTACCTCTTTATTATATAGGATTTTTATTTATTTCAGGGAGAGGAAGGGAGAAGGAGAGAAGGATAGAAACATCATTGATGAGAGAGAATCAGTGATGGGCTGCTTCCTGAATGCCCTCTGCTGGGGATTAAGCCCACAACCTGGGCATGTGCCCTGGTGGGGAATCAAGCCTTACCTCCTGATTTTATGTTCAACCACTGAGCAATACTGGCCAGGCAGGAATTAACTTTTTAAAACTTTATTATAAATACTGTGAGGAATGTATCTACACTTTAATATTTCATTAAGAGTGGTTAATTAGTATTTAAACTATACTGGTCAGGAACATACACTCCAGATGTGGCTGATAAGCAGCATCAGATACCTTTATTAAAAATTTCACCAGAAAGTTCAGTGAATAATTATAAGGTATATTAGAAATAATTTTTCATTGGTGAAATAAGTGATTGTTCAAGACTTGTTAACTTAAAAATTGTATAGCAATAGCCATAACTTGCATGAACAAGGGGCAAGCTTTGTGCCCACTTAGCAGCTAGCCTAACACTTAGACTCTATGCCCAAAACTCCAAATAGTCCCATGGGTCCCTTGTCTGCTTTGAAAAAGTCTCTGTTCAATGGACACAGACACTAGGAGGGTGAGGGCATGAGTGGGGGGGTGGGGTTCTCTGACTTGACCAGCCTCAGTCCTCTAGCACCTCTAGGAGCCTGAGCATCTCATTCGGTAATACCTTAGTCAATAAAAGATATAATAGAAAAAAATAAAGCATCAAAAAGGGAATATATATATATGTATATATATAGCAAAGAAAAAAATTAAAAATATCAATAAATTTGATTTTTAAAATTTAAAAAATAATTATAAATTCAATATCTTTCAAATGCAAAAAGAAAATGCACCAGTAAAACAATGCCAAGATGTTATAGAGGGAACAATTGTGAAACAAACAAAACACTCTTGAATTAAACATATGAATTTTAAAAATTAAAAAAAAATGTTTAAAAAACTTTCTATGGAGGAATTTAGTAAAAATCTCCTCCCCAGAGCCAAAGACAAAGAAATGGAAATATAAGGAAAAAAGCTAATATTATATAAATAATTCAGGCAATTAATTTCCTGAACAATAGGAGTTCCAAAAAGAGGGTGGGGGTGGGGAATATGGAGAGATATAATTATCTGGGAATAATAAAACTAAGGGTTCCAGAGCTTGACAACATGTGGATACAAGTAAAATAAAAAGCCAGCCAAATCCCAAAATATGAATGAGAAAAGACTTATTCCAAGTATTTTTATAATTGCGAAATTCCAGAAAACGGATGCAGAGAAAATTCTGGTCTGGCTCTGCTTTGTTTTCCCCTGAACCTTCAGTGCTTGTGTCATAGCCTGTGGCCCAGAGACCCTCAATGTGCACCTGAGGAGTGCATGCCTGCATGGTGCATACAGGAACCACGCCGATAGCTGGAGTCCTGACCACAGGGCATCCCTTTGCTTCTGAATTAGGTCAGTGTATTAGGACTTATACTTCAAGTTGCTACCTTACTGAACATTTTTTTCCCTTTGAACATGGTTTATTCTCTTAACATAGTCTATTTTGCATGTGTGTAATCTTATTCAAATAAAACATTACTGCTTTTGTTATTATTTTTTAAAAAGTCTCTATTGCCAAAACTAAATATTTTTAAATTACTAAAAAAAGTTTAAGAATTTTTGAATAACATTTAAGTGTTAACTTCCATTTTATGTTACAAGGAATACATAAAACAGAATATTTAGTGTGATGCCAACCATTTAAAGAAATTATCACTAATCTACTTATATTCCTTCTACACAGTACTTTCCATAAATTATGAACAACCAATAGTCATTATCCCCAGGTGAGAATATCAAGGGACATGTTTACTTTATGGTGTTTATTATGTAATTACTAGAGGCCCGGTGCATGAAATTCATGCAGGGGCGGTGGGGGAGGGGGGGAGAGTATCCCTCAGCCTGGCCTGCACCCTCTCACAATCTAGAACCACTGGCTCCTAACTGCTCGCCTGTCTGCCTGATCGCCCCCAACTGCCTCTGCCTCTGCCTCTGCCTCTGCCTCGAAAGCCGCGGCTTCATCAGGAAGGTCATCCGGAAGGACATCCAGAATGACACTCGGAAGGTTGTTTGGTTGTCTGGTCTAATTAGCATATTACACTTTTATTATTATAGATACTACAATTAATATATATTAATTTTTATAAAGCACACATAAACATTACAACAGAAAGATGGTTGATGGAAATGCAATTGCCAAATTACCGATGATTTGTGGAAAAAGAGTAAATGTAAAAGAACTTCATTTTGAATGAGAGCAGATCTCGAATATCATTGCATCTAACCCTCCAAGCAGACTCAGAGAGACTGCCTTCTGCCACAAGGCAGCATCTCAGCTCCCCCTCCAGGCTCCCTTGTACCAAATTTCAAAAGCCTCCCTCTGTGGACAAGTAGAACTTCCCAGGTCAGAGAGACCTAGTGCTGAATCCTAGTAGCACCCCTTCTTAGTTGTGAGACTTTGTTAAAGTTAGTTTCCTCACTGTTAAATGTATCATTAAGCTTTATGCCATAAGTTTAAGTGTTAGTATATCTTTTGTTGTTGTTGTTGTTGTTAATCCTCACCGGAGGATATTTTTCCATTGATTTTTAGTGAGAGTGGAAGGGAGAGGGTGAGATGGAGAGAAACATCAATGTGAGAGAGACACATCAATTGGCTGACTCCTGCATGTACCTGACCAGGGCCAGGGAACCTGCAACCAAGGTATGTGCCCTTAACCAGAATCAAACCTGGGACCCTTAGGTCTGTAGGCCAATGCTCTATCCACTGAACCAAACCAGCTAGGGTAGTGTTAGTACATCTTGATGCTCAGTTATTAGTCTATCACATATTGAACAAAGTGATGTGCATAAAAATAGAAGGAGGGTAGTATTTGCACTAAGGGAATATTGACCTCAAATCCCAGGTGATTTACCAGCTCTCAAACTTCAGACACGTTACTTAATTTTCGTAAGCATATAAGGCATAACCTCTGAAATGAAGATAACAAAATCCATCATCTCATCATGTGGTTAATGATAAATATGAATTATGTAAAATTAGATCATTGATATAAGGGATCTAGTAGCATACTTGTCACTGAGGTATCTATTATTGTAATAATCAATGAAATTGAACACAAAAGGTAATCAGAGCTGAAACCCCAGAAGAGGTTAAATGACGGTACATATCCACTGAGCCAAACCAGCTAGGGTGGTGTTAGTACATTTTGATGCTCAGTTATTAGTCCATCACATATTGAACAAAATGATGTGCATAAAAATAGAAGGAGGATAGTATTTGCACTACGGGAATATTGACCTCAAATCCTAGATGATTTACCAGCTCTCAAACTTCAGACATGTTACTTAATTTTCCTAAGCATATAAGGCATAACCTCTGAAATGAAGATAACAAAATCCATCATCTCATCATGTGGTTAATGATAAATAAGAATTATGTAAAATTAGATAATTGATATAAGGAATCTAATAGAGTACTTGTCACTGAGGTATCTCTTATTGTAATAATCAATGAAATTGCACACAAAAGGTAATCAGAGCTGAAAGCCCAGAAGAGGTTAAATGACGATACTGACTTGGATATCCAAATCGTTTCAATGACTTCAGTAATGTTCTAATTCTTGTGTTGAATAATGGGTTTAATATATGTTTTAATATTATCTTCATAGCTTAGAAATACATGACATTCTTTTGTAGCTATTCAATATTAT